ATCTCAAAAGGATGCACCCAATTTTCCCAACATATTATATATTGTATAAATATATAATCAAAGGTGTATTTGATACAATTCATCTTGCAGTCTCTTTATTAGCAAAATAAAAACACTTTGCATTTTATATTCATGATATGGCTATAATCTAGTAAGACCTACCAATGCAGTTGTTTAAATATTACATGGCATGACTCATGGAGACGTGTTTCCAACAGCACACAAAGGAATAAGGATTACAGGTAGAATAACTTCAATAGTCAAGGACCAGCCACAACATCTTATGAAAAGAAATATATAGCAAGAGAGGCTCACTACTGATATCCATTCCAACTCAAGGTGCTCTTGAAAAGCCATGCTTTAATGGCCCTTCTTAAAACCAACAGAATGGAGGACAACCTAATTTTTGGAATCTGCTGCTCCAAAAATGAAATCTGGGATTGAGAAGGTTCATTCCCTCAGTGTCTAAAATGACAACCCTTAAAAGTGAGAGCTCATCCTACCATAGAAGAAGACAATCCCATAAATAACCAACTCTAAGCCATAGAGGCCTTTAAAGATGACATTGAATAATACCTGGAAAAGAATGAGCATCCAATGCAGCTCTTGAAATAGAAGTGTTATTTGGGAGATAAGTAAGGTTTTCTCCACTATTCAAGCCAATGCATTCTGAATCAGTCTGAGCTTCTGGATGCTCTTCAAGGGACGCCCCACATATATCGCAGTAATTCAACCAATAAGTAGCTAAGGTACAAGTGATCCAGAATAATGTCTGCCAGTCTTGAGATCATCTGACATACCAAATGTAACCAGGTCAGATTTGCCATTGATTCTTTGTCAGAAGCTGGAAGTCCAGAGGGACTATCAGATTATGAACCAGTTCCAAAAAATGAAGTAAAATCAAAGATGGAATGTCTCTGGTACTGAAAATTCTCCATGTCCATTGCTACTTTGTTTTGTCAGGGTTGAGCCTGAGTCTGTTCCTTCTTCACCAGATCCTAATTAACCTTCAAGGACTAGGACAAGACTTCTTGTTCAGCCCAATGTCAAGATATATAATTAAGCATCATCAGAATACAGATGATATGTAACTCCATGCCAATGAATATCCTCCCCCAGCAGCTTCATGTAGATATTAAATAGGAGGGATGAAGTATCAATTATTACTACTGACTGAAAATTCCCCTTCAGGAAGGAGGAAAATCACAATAAAACAATGTCCCCTACAGTAACTCCTGAAGTTTGGCTACAATAAACAGAGGTATCAAAAACCATATAAAGGTACAGCAAGACCAAGAGAGTCACACTTCCATTATCCCAGGCTCATTTACAGGCCTGAAATGAGACTGAAAAACATCTAGACGGTCTATTTCCTCCACTGTTCTTCAATCTTATCGCTATCCTTCCCTAAAAAGAGAATGTTAGAGACTGGACAATAGTTATCCAAACAGAGCTAAATTAAGTGATAGCTTCTTAAGAAGAAGGTACACTACTACCTTTTTTAAGACAGAGAGTACTACTGCCTCTCTCAAGGGTATTTTAATCACTACCCAGGCCCAGCCACCTAATAGCTCCTTTTCACCAAGCAGTTCGATAGATATCCAAACCACAGGTGGCAGAGCCAATACTGTGAAAAACATTGTCCCCTTCCTCAGAGCCAAAAGAATCAAGGATTGATCTTGCAAGGAACAATCTTAGTTACCTCAATAGGATCTGCCCACTTAGCACCCAGTTCCAAGTGGATTTGAGTGATTTTATCTTTCTCATCTTTACTTGATACGGTAAGGGTAACTTTAAAGAGGCTACTGAATAGCAAACTATGGATGAGTAAGATCAGATAAATACTTTAGCACTCATATTAGCACATGTAACCTCAAGCTACACTCTTATAAGATCCAGGAAGGCTTGCTCTTTGTCTGTTCCTGACATCGTGGACTTCAACTCTCAGAATTGCTTTAGGTGTCTCTTCTGCTGTTTCACTTCCTGGAGGTTCTCAGTAATCCAAGGAGTTCTCATGAACTGGTGTTTGGGAAGAAGCCACCTAGGTGTAATTCTATGCAAAATTGCTGCTGTCCAAGTATTTCCAGCTGGAGAGCAACACTTCAGCACAGGGACCCACCAGTGTTTAGAAATCCCTCCAAGCATTCTTTGGAAACCAAGTAGATCCATTATGCTCTTGGGCCAGGCCAATCAAATGAGTCTATCCTCCTGTTTGGTACTGCTTGTCAGATTCATAGCAATTAGTTATCTGACCACATTAAAAGGCAGGTGTTAACATTTATATATCACATTTGTTCCGAGCAATCATCAACTCTAACACATGAACTCCTACATGAGCTGGGGCTGTGACTCATAGATTATCCATCTATCCCAGTATCATTTATTCTGATAGTAGCTCTCCAATATTTTTGGCAAATAAGTTTCTGTATATCTGATCTTTAAAAAAAGCAAATAAAAATGAATAATGTTTTGCTTTCTAAAGAAGAAAAAAGAAAACTAGTCAACTCTAAAAGTGAGCAATACAGGCTATGAGGTTAACCTAAAAACAAACCTAGAGATTACAAGCTTGGTTGTCAATTGGATAATCTCTTGGATATCCTTTTATGACAGGTCTGGTTTAATTACAGTGCAAGTGTCATATGTCTGTTGCATACCACAATAAAAAAACTTGAGTTAAGCTATTATACCATATCATCTTTACTATCCATATCTATACTGCTGTCACTTCTTCAGTTCAGAAAACTAAAGGTATCCTTAAACAGAGGCCTCAATATTTTTATTAACTTATTATCCATTCAGCAGCATCAATGTATGTCATGTTCTGCAGAGTTTTCTAAGCAAGTTATTTCCCCTCAGAAAGATTACTGTTTAGCAACTGAGAGTGAGAAAATCAAGATAATACACACATTGGAGTGCCACTTTCATTCTTTAAATATGACTTATAATGCTTTCTTCCTTTCTCTTTTTTTGCAAATGCATGGTTCTGTATTTTTCCTCTTCCATGGGGCAAGTGTGAATATCAAAATTTCTTCAAATCAGAAGAACAGAAAAAATATCCCTGTGATAGAATACAAATTAGGGTTGTACACATCAAATGTTGTACTATAACATAAATGGATAAAAAATATAGGGCAGAGATTGTTCATGTTAATATTAACACACATGTTTAAAAAGCTTATTGAATGATACATTTGTATTTATTTCTTCAGATATTGAGTTATAGTGATGCACATTTTTTATTTCTGATCTAAGACCATAATGATTTATTATTGTTCATGCACACAAGCAATAGCCAGCTCCCACATACTGTACCTCTTTTGTAAAACATTTATCATGGCTTGTTTTAGCAAGCAACGGTGAAGGTTTATTCCAGAAATCAGACTTTTATTCTCCAAATCAGTTGATGAACAGCAAAAATTGAGGGCTTCTAAGTGTTTTTGTTGTTTTTTTCTTGTGAAAACCAGACACTCTACAGTGGGACCTAGAGAAAAGAAATTGGATAGAATGATAACTGCAAAAGTATGAACTTACACAAATGATAGGAATATTCAATATAAGCAACAGCAAAAACTTTTTCACACACACACATACATACGCATTTATGTGTAGGTGTGTGTGTGTGTGTGTGTGTGTGTGTGTATTCATTCAGGATTTCTGCTTACTAAATAAAGTATGCTGTGCAAAATTTATTAGTCAGACCGTACTGTAGCTAACAGCTCCTAAGGCAGGGCAATATATGACAAATAAGCACATACATCAATCAAATTAAAAAGAACATAACTAGTTTTGGTGGATTTTTGTTAATTAAATCCTGTTCATTAAAAGAAAAAAAAATCAGGAAGTAAACACTACCAGTTATCTCCCTTTCCAAGGGAATTACCTTTCTTTGGAAGAATTCAACATTATTCAGCCCACCAGATTAGAATTCCACAGAATAGACACCAGAGCTCTAGAAGCTCCATTATTTATGCCATTTGATCTGGTAACTTCATCCTTGTTTGTTCCTCATCAACAGCTCCAAAGAATTTTTTCAGCCTAGCTCATCTGACCAGAGAGGCCTCGAATATGACAGCGATCCAGAGGGAACAGGAAACACAAATCACTTGAGCAGCTTCTCTTCACACCGCATTTAAAATAAAACACTTGCATTTCTCTCTGTGAAGTATAGACTCTACCTATAGATAGCCCTGTCCATAAGGAAAATGAAAAACTACTTCAGGTAGTAGGAGCAAGATGCCAATTTCTCAGCTTGCCATCCTGTTCTTCTATGCTATCTTAGGTTATGGTGAGGTTAGAAAGAGATGTGTCCCTCATTGTTTTTTCTTAGCTTGCTAAGTCGACTTGTTGCTTCGGGTATGGAGGCAGATGGTTGTCCTGCTCAGTCCTGAAAGCAAGATCTTGTCAGTTTCAGTGTGTAGAAGAAGAAAAAAGGACAATCCTCCTCTTTGCTCTCTTTCAAGCAGATCCCATTTAAAATGACAAGCTTTCTTGAACACCTGCATTTCTAACTGCTACATCCCAGATTGACGCTTTTCATGATTTCCCTAAGCAAGGAAGAGCCAAAGCGGTGTCAGCTAGAGCAACAGCTGTGAAACCACAAGGCAGTCAGGTTAACCTTCTGAACCTGCAAAAGATCTGCTACTAAGCTTACTCAACATTCCTCTTCTCTGCCTGAAAGGCTCTAGAGCAGTGGTTCTCAACCTGTGGGTCGGGACCCCATTTGGGGTCGAACGACCATTTCACGGGGGTCGCCAAACAACGCAGTCCGCCATTTTTTCCCCCTTTTCCTTAGCTGTGCTACTCCCTTTTATTCTATTGTCTTTTGAAAGCCAATAGAATAGACTCTCTTGAATAGAGTCTAATTCTATTGGCTTTCAAAAGCCAATAGGAATTGTCCAGGCTGTCTCTGCCCTGCTGAGCCCACCAAAAGTCCCATTCTGAAAACGGTGCTGCACCAGTTGAGTAGTCCTCGATTTATGACCAGTTGAGTAGTCCTCGACTTACGACCGGTTGGGGGTCGCGGCATTAAAAAGGTTGAGAACCACTGCTCTAGAGGACACTTTGGCCAGTTCAACATTGCAGGCCAAGGCTTCAGACCAAGCTAGCAAGAAATGTGAGGAACAGATATAGAGGGATAACTGCCTCCATACTACCTGCAGTGAATCAAAATACCATGCTGGGCTGATCCTGTTTTCTGATGACAGACATCCTTACTGTAATTGTCAATGATGTATTCAAAAACACAGCCTTGACTATTAACATTAAAATATTTTCTTGTATACGAGTACAAGAGTGAACTTTCAATAACAATGTGGTATTTTCAGATGCATCGGAGTATAACTCCCATCATTTGCAGCTAGAGTAGCCCCTGGCTTGTAGTGATGGGAAATGTAGTGCACACATCTAGACAACGCTTGCCCATAGATGGCTACTATCTGGCAGTAAGACATCTGCAGTAGCAGTATAAAAAAGAAAATGCACAAGTGTTTTTTTGAAGACTGCAATTCATGGACAGCGGGGGTGGGTGGATATCCTCATCTCATAATTTGCTTTATGTTTAGGAGTTATAATGCTGTTAACAGTTCTTATGTGTTCTCTCTTGCTCTCTTGCTCTTTCCCTCTCTCTCATTTTCTTTTTCTTACACATAAAATTCACATTTAGTTTAATAAAAGGAGATTCAGATTTACAAAACCTGTTAGAGATCTTGGCTCCTTGAGGAAAAGGTCTAAATGCATAGACTGTGGCTTTGCACACTGATAATATATCCTAAATTCTCTTTCATATTTCAAAGATTAAGCAAGTAGTTCTATGAAAGATCTCTTATTTCCAAAAGCTTTGAGAATTTTCTGAAAAGCCAATCCTGAATTAAACAAACAGATTATCTGACCTGTTATAAAGTTCTTATATTTCACAGAATTGAAAGACAGACAAAATTTAGGACTAGACATGTTCAATAAAATCCAATTTCAGTGTGTGTGTGCTGCCAAAGCAAAGAATAGCTTTTCCACAGGTTAAAGGTACAGCATTTATGCTTCTGAAGTGCAGATAAAATCACAGCTCCCTAAAAGATCATCTCTTTCCCTCTTTTCAAGGATGAACAGGCTTGTTTCAAGTATCTCTTATGACACTTCATATTTATAATGTCCCTGCTAGCTAGCTGACTGGATTAGTCAAATGAGGAAGATGTATATTTCCTGCTTGTGGGCTGCTCTTAGCTGAGAAGGTTGCTAAGTGTGGCTGTGTGGCAACTGCTATAGGAGGATTGTGCATCATTCTAATGCCAGACTTTTTGAATTGTCTAGGTGTTGCTATACACATTATTACTTAAATTATTTTCTGTCTAAACACATTAGGTATACACCAACATTCTGCCAAATATTTTAATTAAACAAATGTATGCTATAGTCCTGCCATTCCAGTTAAAATGATGTTGGCAAAGTCTAATTTCTTAATATTACAACTACATAAAAGTATCACCCAAGACAAACTTGACTCAAACAAAAGCACAGAATGAGCTATGGTAACTCTTCACATTCATACATGGCTTTCATCACCTCTGAGACTAGTTAAATACAGCAGAGCTCTAAGGGAGAACTGAAATATCTACAGCTTATTCCAAGACAACTTATTACAAACTGATTCTCAAGTATAAAGGATGCATGAGCAGAAGATTTAGTAGCCGAGGTCCATTTTTGTACACATTATTTATGATGTACAAAATACATAAAATGCGGAAATAGCTGAGCTCCTGAACAGCTTTTCAGTTGAGCTTCTGGACAGTCATCCAGTCATTCAGCCAATCCTCAGTTGGCCACAGAGCTCCTTGAATACTATACTCTTAGGCCAGTCAATTGAACCTATAGTGAGGGCAAAGAAAATCACATCTGCCCTGTCCTGTGATGTCTGATTTAGCACTATTGCAGAATACAAACTCCATCAGTACAGAGGACATTGGCGTGAAAGCCAGATAGATTTATAACGTACTGAAGTACACACCCACAACAACCATGGAACATGCAGACATGTGAGCCAAATATTGAATAGTTTGGCAGCTTTTACCACATTCTGAAAACTAAAGAGAAGGAGGACCATTATTCTGTGGTAGAGCATATAGTTTGAATGCCCAAAACACTGAATTTAATTCATAGCATCACTGAGTAAAATTTTGTATGAACCTGTCCCAAATTATGAGCATGACCAGTGTCTGCATGAAGTATTCAAAAATAATCAAAATCGTACAAGCAAAAAATGTAAACCTTGTTCATCTAATCAACTCCAGTATTTTTTTTAAATAAAGTCATTATTTCTGATCAAGAGAATAGATATACTTGTGATTCTATAACTGAATCTCCTATTCTAACTGTATCAGTTCACAAGCCCATATGCTTGTAAGCATTTACAAAGATCGCACTTTATATAGAGCAATCTTAAAATTAATAATTAATCTGAAGTAAAGTCTTGCTGATATGAACCAAAGAAACCTGGACCCTAGAAATGATCTTTTGGCCTTCTTTCCTCATCCCTCCTGCCAGGAGATCCTCATTTCAATATTTACTGACTTTTTCTGTGTAATTTTCTTAGGATATATTTTTCTGCCCAAGGATGGAAAGAGACAACACCAGGATTGTCACAATCTTGAAAGAGGTATGATTCTCCATATACTAACAGTGCTGTTAAATGTTCTTCTTATCTTTGGTTGGACAAGACTTGCAACTTTTAAAGCATGAGTGACTTTAGGAACAGAGCCTGTACTGGGGAATTATCTTCTTGCAAAAACAGCTTTCCCCTTTGGTCTTTCATGCCAGAGAAAACAATTCCAGTCTGTTTTTGTAAACCTTTCTTTATTCATTCCTTTGCTGCCTCCAACATTTTCTCTATCCCTACTTATCTTAACTAAACTGCACAACTTTCAGGTACTTCTACATCCTGACCAGTATCAATCTATTTGTCATCCTTAGTGATGTTTAGCAGAGATTGTAATAGCAGATGGGGAGGGGGAGTTGTTTATACAATATTTTAGAAAATCCAATCCCGGATGAAATATAGCCCCAGATTATTTGAAGAATTGAAAAAAAGTAAAAGAACTGTTAAGTATTAACTGTGACATTTTGTGGAAAGAAGATTAAAAAGAAAGTTATGGCTTCCAGGAATGTTCAAGGCTAGATATTTTAAAGTAAAGTAAAAAAAAGTAAAGTGAAACACAGTAATATTAATGATGGATCAAGAACTGAAAACCTTGCTGAAGATAGCATTTATTGGTAGTTATAAGGGGTTGCTTTATTAGTAAGTAAGTAAGTAAGTAAGTAAGCTCTGCTTCATTGAAAGAGTTTTACTTCCAAAACATCATGTACAAACTCGATGGCATAACAATATTATAAGAAATCAAATTTTCTCTCCTATCTGTATTTAAAAGCTATAAATAAAATATATACATACCTGCTGTTGGGTAAGAAAACCAGAACCAAAAAATCCTTCAGCACAGAAACCCAGACAACAATCTATCTGCTGCTTCCTTGCCTTCTACACACACACACACATACACACACACAACTCATTTTAGCATGAGATCCTTTAATAGACTTCATCATGTGTAGACATACAATTCAATTTGTGTGCTGAGAATCATTGCTGCATTCCCCAATCCAGGCATCAATTTAACATTCATCTAAGTGCATCTTGCATTTAAAAAAAAATTCAACTACACTTGACCTAGCTGAGGTACAGAATGACACTCCACTTCCAACAGTCCAGACATCAACCTCAGGATGGTCAAGTAACACTTAAATGCAAATTAGACCACTATATTCAGCTGCATTTCAGAAGGTTATCGAGACCTGAGTCTCCAAGAAAAAGAAAATCCACAGGAAAGTAACATTTTGCCTATTATTATTCCTGCCCTTCCCTAGGTATTCCCGGGATCTGTGTAACACGATTCCAAAAGCTAGTTCCGGTTGTGCGGTCCAAACTTTTACACGCCTGTCTTTAAGCCCCATTGTAAAAAATTAAGATCCTATAATGTGAGGCAACGCGGTTTGGAAATCTAGCAGTGAGGAAAGCGGGGCCAGAGTGGTAAATCAAACCCTTCGCTCATCGTCTGTAGTCAAACGGACGAATAAATGCATGAATAAAATATATCGCGGGCCGCTTATTTCAATATTAAGAATGAAAGAAAGCAGCGCGGTCATAGAAGAGTTTCGATTGCTATAATGTCATATCTCTAAATGCCGGGGAAATGTAGCCTAAGGAGAGATCGGAGGGAAAGGGAAAAACCTTATCTGAAAGCACTTATCCTTTTCAAAGTTTTTTTTTTTAAAAAACAACAACTGCCTATAGCTACTGAGGAACAAAAGGGGAAAAAAAGCCACATTAAAAATCCCGATTGCGTTTAATATCCCACCCCTGAAGTTCCCCGGTGCTCTATGGTCTTTTTCCAGGTTTTCCCCTCTAGTTCCCTATCATAACCGAGAACCGGAGTTACTTTTTAAAGATAAGCTTATTTAGGAAGGGGAGGGGGGGAGTCTAATGCCCGGAAAAGTTTCCACTAGTTCTCCCTTTAAATCCAACCCAGGAGCCAAAACCGAGCCGTGTGAGCAGCTTACCTCCGCTCGATCAGCGAAGAACTGAACATACACACTTGCCCAGAGCACTCCGAAGAGGGCGAAGCTAGGGATGGTAAACAAACGGCTGAGCCAGAGCTTAAAAAAAAAAAAAAAAAAAAAAATCAAGGGACCGGAGTCAATTTCACAAGATTAAATGAAAAGGGTTCTTGGAGGGAACAAGCTGCTGGGAGGGTAAACTTTACTAATTCTGGGTGGTCTCAGTCAAATCACCACAAAGGGGCGCCTGGGGAAGCAGATCCATCATTTGCTAATGAAAGAATACAACAGCAGGGAAACTGAGAATTGTTAAGTTTGGAGAAAGGTTCCAGGAGACTGTGTAATGGGCAAAAGTATCTCCTGCAATCAATCAATAACTGCAGGACATCTGAGTAATTATGTACCTTTCAGGAAACCACAGCTGTTCTGAAATTGGCAATAATTTCCTTTTACTTTCTATGGTCATTTATGATTATTTACACTCAGGCTTTATAAAAATTATCAGATGTTATGTTGTATCTATTGATATCCATCTTGTATATACCTAGCTATAATGGGGAAAAATTAGACAGGCTGGTTGGCTGGCACAGATTATTGGGAGCCCTATGCATATTTCCTACTTCTAGGCTCTAGGTGTAACTTACAGCCACAGTTACATCTAAATGGTGATACTTGTATATGTTACTGTGTAAATGTTTCAATTATAAAATTTGCATTGATCACATCATATACGATGCATGGATATTCCATTATTTGTCATCTCTTGTCCCTTCTGCTAACATCCATGTCTTGGGTCACTCTTCACTTATTGTGTAGCTTTGCACCAGTCATTATTTTACACACTTATCACCCTCAAAAGGGTGCTATGAAAGAAAGAAAAAAAATAAGGAGGCAGAAGAATCAGTGTGTCTCCAACTCTTTGGAAGAAAAGGAAGGTGTACATATGAAGAGTTCTACATGTTTTAATATGCTACTGATCAAAAGATGTTGGGTTCTTTAATTCCCAACAAATGTGTCACACTGACTCACAAACTACTCAAACCATATTCTAGCTTAGCATATTGAACAAGCTCAGTTCATGTAGTTGGTGAGGGCTCAATATGATGTGCAAGTTGTGAAAATGGGTTAAATGAATAAACATGAGCTAATAATGAGTAAGTATTCATAGAGATAGCTAGTCTGGTGTATTGGTTAAGACATTAGGGTAGAAACCAAGAAACAATGTATTCTAGTACTGCCCCAGACACAAAGCCAGTTGGGTGACTTTGACCACTCCACCCCTCTCAGCTCTTGAAGAAGGCAAGCACAAACCACTTCTGAAAAATCTTACCAGTAAAATAGCAGGAACCAGTCCAGGCAATTGCCATGAGTTCATACTGAGTCAAAGACCCCAAAAAGAAAAAGTAATGAGAACAAAGCCAGTAAGGATGTGAAACAGCTGTTGTGTGTTTTCTGTGAAGACATGACTTCTCAATATGTTCAAAATGTTGGCTGTCAATGGAAAAAGACAAACCATCCCCCAAATTGGGAAGGTAGCCAAGGATGAAATAATGAAACAGCCTTCTGAAAAAGAAATGGCTGGAGGGAGGGAGAGAGAGAGAGATGGCAATAATTTACTTTTACTGTATATGATCATTTATTAAAAAATAATGGCACTCTTAGAGTAAAAATGATCATTGTCACTTTGGTCTGCTGAAATTGCTAAGTAATTTCTCATTGCAAAAGAATTGGAAAGAGGTGTTTATTCTTCAGTAAGTACCATAGGATGTTCAGAATGGGGTACTCCCAGCAGGGCCAGAAGGCAAAATGAAAAGGTCTGAATGTGAGTATAAGGAGCAAATCTTTAATTTCTTAAAATACCATTTGCCAGATGCAATAAAACTAGTACCTCCTTATTAACAAAACAAGGGCTCTTTTCCTGGAGAATGAACAATTCTGAGAGGGTGTAACTGTTCATAATTATGATGTGCTTTGTAAGAATATCAACAAAAAAAAAGATTTTTTGAAAATCCAGTGTTTTTGAAATATGCCAGTGTAAAGAGATTTACTGAAGAATAAACACCTCTTTCCAATTATTTTGCAATGAGAAATTGCTTGGCAATTTTAACAGACCAAAGTGACAATGATCATTTTTGCTCTAAGAGTGTTTTTGAAAAGATGTTTAATTAAAACTTTAAAAAATATGTAGCCGTTACTCCTCAACAGAGGTTAGCAAGCAGTTGCACAAAGTATCCCAAAGTGTGATTCAAAGAGACATCTTGGTGCTGAGATAGAGGATTATTGAGTTAAAAATGCTACTTACCACTTGTTCTGCTAGCAGAAAACTAAACTGACATAAAAATCTGCTCTTCCACTGGTAACCTCTATATTGTCATAGGTATAATGGAGCAAATTATTCTGTCCTTATAGTGTACAGCAGGGGTCCCCAACCCCTGGCCCATGGATTGGTACTGGGCTGCGGCATGCCAGCAACCGGGCCGCAAAAACAAGCAAAGCCCCATCTGTGGGATGCAGGCACCACACAAAACCATGACCCCTCTGGTCCGCAGAAAAATGTAACTGGTCCCTGGTGCCCAAAAGGTTGGGGACCTCTGGTGCACAGGTTATGTTATAGCCAACAACTGTCTATAACCCTTCTCTAAATTATTCATTCCCTGTCCCTGCACTTGTACCTGGTGGTCTTTGGGGACAGGCTTGTCTAAAAGAAGTAGAATCTTCTATGACACAGAAGAGAAAAACTATGGAATAGAGACCTGGAGTGAGTGAGTAATACTTTGTCCTAGTTTAAATTTCGGATCAGATGAGGCAGCTTCATAAGGATACACCAAAATAAAGGAAGAAAGGAAGGAAGGAAGGAAGGAAGGAAGGAAGGAAGGAAGGAAGGAAGGAAAGAAGGAAGGAAGAAGGACGGACCAAACTGTCAATATTACAATGAGATGCAAATGAGAAAAGTCTTATGAACATATAGAAAATAGAAACTTGCAGGTATGACTTATTTCAAATTAACTTTCTGAACATGTCCTTGTTATATTCCTTTCACATTTCCTA